GGGTGCTATATATATAATGTTAGTTTTGCTTATTGTTGGGTGAATAGGCAATTTCAATTTTCAGCTTCGGTGAATGCCAATTCTTAGCGTTGTCGTGTTCCAGTTCTACTGAGATTTCGTTGATTCTTCCTCTTAAGACCCAACAAACCTATGTTTTATTAGAGGTTAACTTCTAAAAATTTAGTTACCACGATCATCGGAGCATGTTCAACCTTATGTGAAAACCACGGACATAAAAACGCACGCTTGAACATGTATAATTATCGAGTAGTTAGATAGGAATGTACTTTTTAATTCGTTAATATAGTTTATGCATTCCAATTGAGCTCGCGCGTTCCGAAAAGGAAACACGCTCATGCAATCTGCGATGGGAATGTATGTTCTTAACATGGTGCGGCCTCTTTTTATACAAAGACCAAACTAAAATGATTGCTTTTCTTCAATTTAGTAATCAAGTATAAGGTTAGATATTTTTTGAGTTAGTAAGTAATATACTAATGCATGTCTCACATTCCCATAATAACACATTTTAATATAGATAGATACTTATGCATAGCTCTGATATCCATGATGGCACATTTTAATATAGGTTTTCTTGCTCATTGGGTTTATGTTAACTTCTTCAGAAACATCTCTCCCCCCACTCTTATACTTCATCTCAGATTTGCTCATTCGTATCCTTTGCTTGCCTAACGAATTTGGATACTCATCTATACAACCATCACGTTCCTGATTGTCGAAGGTAGAGTGATTTCTCATTTATATTTGTTATCAATGAGTCTCCTGAGTATGTAAGAGCAGTCACTGTTATTCATTTTCACCACTTCCTCATTCAATATATCCGAATCCGTTTCTATTCGTTTGGAACCAATTAATGAATCATCTCGCCAGTAAATGGTGTTGATCTTTTCCCATTTTTTGTCTTCGCTGTGCAGCAATGCCGCCGAGAATAAGAAAATCTCAATATCACACTTTGACACGTAAGAGACCTAGAGTTGAACTTCCCAAGCAAACATCGGAGGATCTTACAACTTCTTCAGCTGTGTTTGGGGATATAGCTACCGAGACTCAGAACAACATACAGGGGTCATCTCAGAATCTTCATCAAGTTTCGCCGTCAACAGCAGGTGATGAGTTCAATATTATGCTATATCTGCTATTTGAAGTATGGAATACCCATGAACATATTATGCGCTGATAATTACCGTGCGAATCGGGCGCTTATTATCGCTTACTCTTATGTTTGCAGTGCATATATCAGATTCATCATGGCCAAAGAAATCGCGCTATCAGACCATGAAACAATTAGGATCCAGAGATATAACTCGATCCATTTTTCATCAGGAACAAGGGAGCCCTGATGTAGAGGCTGAATGTTACAATAACAGCGATCGAGTAACAGAGGCTAACCGTCGAAAAACTGATCGTCCAAGTCGGCGGCGGTCAGATGAGGTCCCATCCTGTAGTAGGCATATTCCCACAGCTAGGAAGCCACTACACAATGATATTCTCAGAATTGGTCAGCCAGAATGTGTCTGTAAATTATGTGGTGCTTTGTTTTGGGATATGGAAAGACTCGATCGGCGTCGAGCAACAACTAATCCAATTTATGGATTATGTTGTTAAAAAGGTCGTGTTGGTCTGCCGCTTATAGCACAACCTCCACATTTGTTGGCTGAACTTCTGCGGTTTGATGGTGGCGCTATGTCGAAGCATTTCAGGGATAACATTAGACCGTATAATGGTTCATTGTGCTTCACATCATTTGGCGCTTCTATCGACCCTCGCTCTCTCTCTGGAAGGGGACCCTATTCAATGGTCATATGTGGAGAAAATTATCATAGAATTGGTTCATTGCTGCCTCCTGATGGTGAAAAACCAAAGTTTGCTCAGCTCTATATTTTCGAACCTGAGAATGAAATTGACAACCGGTTGGCGAACTTTGCTTCCCGTGATGGTCTCTTATACTAGAACTGCTCACTTTATTGCTTCAAATGTTAGATCAGCATAATGAACTTGTCAAAACGTTCAGGCGGGTTCGGCAGCAGCTGCAAGATTCTGCAACAACAAGTTTAAAGCTTAGAATTTTTGGAGCTAAGAGCAGAAATCGACAGTATGACTTGCCCAGCAGCACTGAAATCGCGGCACTTATACCGGGCGATTTTATTCCGGACAGAGAGGATCGAGATATCATTGTTGATCACATATATGAGGGTTTGAAGAGTTACAAGTCTCAATCCAAAATTTGATGCATTGCATTCCCCACTCTTATTTCCATATGGAGAGGATGGCTATCATCCACTTATCAAGTACAGGTCAGCTTTCTGTCCTCCTTCTATGCGTCGACAGTTTGTTACTCAGTGTGAGTACTATGCATTTAGGCTCCAATATCGCATCAACGAAGGCCATGCAATTGTTCAGGCTGGAAAAGCTCTTCAGCATTTTTGCATAGACGCCTATTCATCAATAGAGCTAAATAGGCTAGCTTTTTTACGCTACCATCAGCCACTGCTTAGCTGAAGTTTATCAAGGCTTACAAGATGCAATGGCGCGAGGTGATCTTGATGGGGATAAAGTGGGTCATGTAGTGCTCCCTGGGACTAATATAGGCAACCCACGATATATGCAACAATTATATCACGATGCAATGGCGGTGGTCGAGTTCTATGGAAATCCAGATCTATTTATTACATTTACGTGTAATTCATTGTGGGAAGAAATAACTGAAGCTGTTCATGACATTGTTGGCCCAAATTGTTCGGACAAACCAATGGTGGTTTCGAGGGTTTTCCACATAAAGCTGAGCATTCTCATCGACGACATTAAGAAAAACTCCTACTTTGGGAAGACAATCGCAAGTAAGAGCAGTATGATCATTTAATATAATTTGGGTAGTATTAGCGATTACTTACTTTTCAATGCAAATATTTTGGATACTTCCCTTTCTAACAAGTTATGCTTTGCACCAGTAATGTATACAGTGGAGTTTCAAAAAAAAAAAAGGTTTGCCTCACATACACTTGCTGGTTTGGCTGGCTGAAGAGAATAAACTAAGGACAACAAATGATATTGATGAAGTCATCTCAGCCGAACTCCCTGACCCTCAAGAAGATCCAGTTGGATATGAGGTTGTTTGCAAATATATTTTACATGGCCCATGTGGAGAAGCAAACACAAATGCACCGTGCATGCGAGACAATAAACGGCCCTCAAACGGAAGATGTTCGAAACAATTCCCAAAAGAGTTTAACTCGACAACGTCATTTGACAAATTCGGAAATGTCATCTACAGAAGATCTAACTCTGGCATATAGGTTCAAAAGGGAAGTTCAGTCCTCGACAATCGACATGTTGTCCCATACAAAAGAAATTTGTTAGTGAGAATGCAGGCTCATATCAATGTTGAGGTATGTCACAAAGGAAAACTTATTAAATATCTTTTCAAATATGTGACAAAAGGGTCGGACAGGTCATTAGTGATTGCTGAAAATGCTAATGCACCCCAGAGCAATCCAGAAGTGCAGCCTGTGAGACATAGAGATGAAATTCAACAATTCATTGACTGCCGATCGTTGTCATCTTATGAAGCTATATGGAGGCTGAATGAATATCCAATACATGTAAGAGAACCAGCAGTAGTGCGCTTGGGAGTTCACTTGGACGGCCAGCAAAAAATACCTTATAAGAAGCAGTCCAATGTTCGGAATATTTTGGGGAATCCATACGCCGGTAAGACACATTTAACAGAATGGTTTGCGCTTAATCGTAGGGATCCCCAAGCAAGAATTCTTACATATGCACAGACACCAAACAACTACACTTGGCTACCTGACTGTAAAGAGTGGAGTCCTCGCAAAAAAGGATTTGCTATAGGCATAATTTCATATGTTCCGCCAGGTTCTGGCGATGTTTTTTTCCTCCGAATGCTGCTCACGAAAGTTCGCGGCGCTATCAGTTATGCTCATCTGAGAACTGTCAATGGAGAACTTTGTTCAGATTTTGAAAAAGCTTGTGGAAGATTGGGCCTTTTATCAGACTCTTCGGAGTGGATACGAGTGCTAAGTGATATTTCATCTTCTAGCATGCCACGGGTGATTCGAAACACTTTCGTGTCGATGCTTATATTTTGTGAAATACCTAGCCCGATCACATTGTTCAGTTCTTCTTGGAAGTCTATGTCTGAAGATTATGCATACAGTTCAGCCAAGAATCTCAGGGATCAAACTATGAGGCCTAGCGACGAACGATTACATAACTGGGTTCTACATCAACTACAAGCTATGTTGAGCTCACACTCAATGACTCTTGAGGACTCTAATCTTCCACTCCCATCCGATGGTCCATGCGATACTGGCGAGAACCCACTCATAAACGAGCATCTAGCTTTTGATACAAACCAGCAACATGTATTAGCCACTTCTATGTTGAAATCTCTGAATATTGAGCAAACCAATGTATATTCAGCAGTCATCAACTCAGTGCACAACAAGATGGGTCGTGCTTTCTTCCTATATGGTCACGGAGGTACATGCAAAACGTATCTCTATAATGTAATTACAGCAAAGCTTAGGAGTTGGGGGAAGATAGTTGTTCTGGTCGCATCATCGGGGATTTCAGCGACACTTCTTCCCAAAGCAACAACGGCACATTTAAGATTCAAAATCCCTCTCATTCTGGATGCAACATCAACATGTCCAATTAAACACGGTACACATTTGGATGATCTATTAAAAGAAGCATCCTTAATCATATGGGATGAGGCTCCTATGACACATCGAAAAGCTTTTGAAGCAGTAGATCGAAGTTTATGCGATATATTAAATGTTCCACTGCATGGAGAACGTTACAAACCATTTGGAGGAAAGACTATCCTTTTTGGTGGCGATTTTCGGCAAACTCTTCCGGTTATCACCGAGGCTGGCCGTGAACAAACTGTTGATGGTTCATTGACTAGGTCCAAGTTATGGAGTTATTTCAAAGTGATGCAACTGTCTACAAACATGCGAATCACAACCGTACAATATGCTGATCAGCATCTTATACATGGGTACACATTTCCAGAATGGGTTCTTGCCTTAGGAGATGGAAGGCTAAAAACAACATCATTCAGAGAAGATGCTCCAATGGATTGGATACAGATACCACATCTATTCTTGATTGATCCCGGAAATGATCCTGTTGAGTCAATTGCAGATGACATATATGATTCGTTTCCTCATAACCATAGGCACCCATCATACCTCACCACTAGAGCCATGGTTACTCCAACCAATGCAACTGTCTCTATAATCAATAATTACATGCTTCAACGTGTTCCAGGAAACTCGACAACCTATTACAGCTCAGACTCACTATTGCTATCGACAGAAACAGCAGATTCATTCGACGAAAGCTATCCAACTGAGTTTCTCAACACTCTTACATTCAACGGAGTGCCAGACCATGAGCTCACAATAAAGGTAAACACACCAGTTATGCTCCTACGCAACTTGAATCCTGGTCTTGGTTTATGCAATGGCACAAGGATCATGATCACATCTTTGAGAGACAATTATATAAAAGGCAACATTATGGGCGGTTCTTATGACACTGATGAGGTCGTTATACCAAGAATAGTGTTGAATGTGGAGAACTCTAAGTGGCCCTTTATACTTAAAAGGAGGCAATTTCCTGTGCGATTATGCTATGCAATGACTATAAACAAAAGCCAAGGACAAACGCTTGAAAAAGTTGGGATATATTTGCCTGAACCAGTTTTTAGCCACGGCCAACTCTATGTGGGAGTTTCAAGAGTAAAATCAGCGAGAGGTTTGAGGATACTTATAGAAAACCCATTTGCTAATATTATCGATATCTAAACTGCATATCGGGTAATTTTACTGAACCTATTGAATTAATCAATGTCTATATTAGCAAATATGCGCGATACAAATGATTTTTTCTCTTGCAGGATCGAAGGAACTCTCAAATGCACTTACGTTGACAATAATTTGGCCGGCGCTTTCTGTGCTTTGTCAGCCTAGAAGGCTCTAATGTTTGTATCTTAATAGCTCAGAGAGGTGAATGTTTTGTCTTAATCATGCATCAGATCACAAATGTTCAAGAACTACATTCATCTTTGCTTTTGGCGATCAGTTCTACAAACATATCTTATGATTAATATCTTAGATGAGAATTATGAGTTATTAAAATTATATCCACCAAAATTTTCGTTCGAAATTTTGATTATGTATAAATTACAATCCATGAACCTTAATCCACAAATCCACAGGTCAATAAGAAACTAGAATGAGTAAATATACAGGCCCATTGTAGAAGAATAATATAATGACCCATTTAAGCCCAATCCAAATGACTCTTTAGGGCTATAAATAAAAACCCATTGCAGGCCCGTCCAAAATGGACATTCCCCTTTAAAACCCTATCTTCCTACAACAACCACATCCGCCATCCACATCTTCGTCAATCCTTCCCCATGGCGAGAGACCCATCACAGAAACTACCAGACAAGCTTTAGGACAAAGGTAAGTCCACGTCCTCCTCTTCCTCACGTGTTTTACGCCTGAAAAACTACTTCTGATCGAAACTTTAATTGTCTGCACAGAAGCCCCACCCAACATGGAGAGTTTACCCAAAACCACCAGTCAACAGAGAGCAGTCACATGGTCCCCATCGATGACAAAGGTCAGAACCTTCTATTTTTGTTAATAAATCCTCCCAAGAATCTCGAATCCTCTGCAAGAAAGATAAAATATCCATTTCCTTTCCCTTTATTATCTGATAGATCCGATCGATACTTGCATGCCATTTCGAGGGTTGCATTTGGGCACAAACAACCGCACAGTTATTGCTCGGCCTGTGATAGCATGGCTTGAATACCGAGAGGCACCAAAGTTAAAAGATGTCAGCATGCACATGATTTGGATAGACAAGAACGTTTGTTTACAATTCAGTTACAAGATTGAACAATCTTTTCATAATTGATTTAAAACCAGTGCGTTGTACGGTTTGAAATCGCTAAACGTTTCTCTTATAGGCACGATTGATCGAGTCAATGGTCGATGAAAAAGACATCACCGAGATTTCTCGGAAGATAAAAGTTGGGAACCTTTATCGGTTCGATTCTGTGGTGGCTGTACCAGCAAGAGAGAATCCAAGGATTGTTGCAGGCGAGTTAAGGATCCACATAACTCCCGAACAAAACATATCAAAGATTGAAGAGGACCCAAATGACCCATGCATGCCCGTCGGTTGGGACATTGGGATGGCTTTTTCGATAGTACCACTTCAGACAAGAACCTTTGAATATCATACAGGTACATTTGACTATCTTTGTTCATCATACTAAAACAAGCCTAAACTTAAAAACGCCAAAATTCTTTGTCAAGCACAGACATCACTGTATGCATCAGGCGTGTCAGTGTTCCCACAACAGTTCGTGGTACTCTCCGAGAATTTCATATGGTCGTACAGGATGTGAGGTACATTTAATAGAATAATGTGTTAATTAGTGAATTATATGAATCATCAACCTCACATATCTATGCCCCGAACAGTGGCGCTAAGGCAATTGTTCAGTACCGAGGATATGATATATTAAAGTTCTTAGAGAATGCGCCAACAGCTGAGGCTCACTTGCCCCTCATTGTCACCATCAAATCAGCCATGCGAGTGGCACCTTTGTCCAGCCAGAAATATAAGTACCGTTTTGAATCCACTCCTACCAGTGAGTTGATGATCAGATCTTACACAGGCTCAGTCAGGGAAATCATGCACATGTACACTTCTTTCTAAATAAATGCTATTCATTCCTCGAATCATACATACTACCAGTCAACTAGAACTAAAACTAACACTTATAATTTTTTCGCTGCAACCAGCTTCCTTTATAGTCGCAGGCAAGTTTACTACTTGAATGCCAACACCAATGAGAAAACAGGCCGCCTTCGCCCAGGAATTGAGAAGAAGACACTTGTAGACATAAAAGCAATGCTCGCATCTGATCAGAGTAACCATAAGGTTTGTTAGCGACAGAGCGTATCACAAACTCTTACATTCTACACTTGCAATTTACATTCAGACATATCTAATCAACATGTGCAATTCATATTAGGTACTCTACCATGCCAAGTTCCACATATCACAGTTGAAGTTTCGAAAAAGCATTTGTCGAACAACTGAGGAATGGCCAGCGTAAGTTTTCAGTTCCATAGACAACACTGCATCCAATGTTTCTTGATCTGTTTGCAAATAAGCTAACACAATTTTTCCTTTCGTACATAACTAGCTTGCATTATCAATTGGAAGTCAAATGTGAACAAGGATCTGATGATATCGACGTCATACTTGACCATGAGGCAACTCTTTCAATAATCGGCATGCCCCCCAGCAAATACAACAAACTCGATTCGGAATCGGCAAAGGCATTGCTGATCAAAAACTGTAACAGAATGTTTGCAGGCGAGCTGTACATCGGTTCCTCAGATTTGAAGAGCAGAACTTCATCAGCCGCATCTCACATAAGAGTTGCAACACTTTGGCATACCTCAAGAATGGACAAGTGATCATCGATATCAATGACGAAAAGACTTTCTGATGCATCATATCCGCTTCTATTATCCTAAACTAGGTTTCTATTCTCTCGCTTTGATAGAGTGAAAACAATGTTCAAATTTGGTTTTATAGTTTGCGACAACTTTTGGACTTGACAAGGTTATTATGCACTGGCTTATATTTCCTTGCACTGACAGAGGTTATTAAGCAACAATGATGCTCAGGGTGATGTTCCATAATCCACAAAACTTCATAGGTCAAACTTATCCCGCCGCGGAGCGCGGGCTGATTACTAGTTTATATTAATTTTTAGTTAAACTAGGATCACTTGCCTTTTGTTTCTACTTGATGGTTTGGGCTGGGCTTATTTTGCTCTTTGGACGCTTTATTTTTTTACCAGTTCATTTCTATGGTTACTAGGCCTAATAGGGGTGGATAGTTTTCTTTGTTTGTTTTTGAAGGTAAGGGTTTGTGTTTGAGTCGGCTCTGGTTTGTTCTTTTATTGAGAATCGAGCTAGTCTTTGGCGGCTTGTTGTGTTTCTTTTTGCCTTTTGTTGGTTCATTTTGCAGGGAATGACTGCTTTGCTTTTGTTATCGGCGGATTGATTAGCTATCGACCGTCGCATATGATTATTTCATTTACTATATATTTGTAAGCATATTGCATTGTACACCTACCTATGACATTGTACACCTATCTATGACAACAAGAAATATGGGAGATTTGGAGCCATATGCAAATTTACTCCTTTTAAATTTTAACTTTTAAGGTTATATAGATTTAAGATAAACTTGATGAGATTGAATTAAACATATTTTTTTATGGTTTTCGTTTATCACACGTCGAATTCTTTAATTTATTGAAGTCTAATGTTTATATGACTTAATATCATATAATATCGAATCATTCTCGTTGCTAGGTCTCCTATATGGGGAATGGATCAGGTCAGTAATCTTATAGTGAGTAACCATGAGTAACCCGTCCACATCAGCATGACATCAGCATCATTTCTCTCATGGAAAGCCTTTAATTTTTCTCTCTTTAATCTTTGACGAACGATTTCTCGCTCATTTTAAGTCGAAATTTGATTTTTTTTGCACAGTTAGATCAGATTAATTGTGCTCTTCAAAATGATATCCACTTTAATATATTTTTTGAACAAAAAAAATTGAGGCATTTTTCACCAGCCTAAAACACAAAAAACCTAGCGTAAAACCGCCCTTTTAGGAGCACAATTGCTACAAACACCTAATATAAACGGGGTAAAATGCGTACAATTAGACCTGAATCACCTTCTTAACCAAATATTTCAATTACTCCTCCTTAAACACAGATAAAATTCAAAATGAAATCTTTTGATCAAGTAGGGGAGACAATCCAACTACTTAAACATATTTTTTATATGGTTTATCACTCTTCGAATTCTATATTTTCATTAAAATCTATGTTTATACGATTTGATTTCATATCAAATCGAATTATTCTTGTCTCTAGGCCGTCCATTATGGATGTGGGAAAAAGTGAGTAAATGAAGAAGAAGAATAGAAATTGGAGGAAACCGCTTAGATGAAGATAAAGAAGAGGAAGGGGACGGAAAATCATTTTTATGTACATATGCGCCACCGCCAGACCACGCTCCTAGAATTCATTTTTTACGAATATATACAAAAAATTGTTGATTTGATCATTTAAATTAGGTACCAACGGCCAGAAGTGGCTCCCAACGACCATTTTGTCAACAACTATTTTTTTACGGTGGAAGGCATGTTGGATGCGCTACAGGAAGACATGTTGGATGAGGTGCAGGGAGCCAGATTCTTCACCAAACTGAATTTGAGGGCAGGTTATCATCACATCATGATGCACGAGGAAAACATTTTTAACAGAGCATTTCGCACCCATAACAGACACTAACACTATTAGGGGTGTTCAAACGGAGTGGTTATCGTGGTAACCATTTTAACCAGTAGTGTTTGGTTAATTTGAATAATTGGTTTGGTTTGGTTAAATTTTTAGCTTGTTTGGTTTAGTTTGGTTTTAGACACTCTTAACCAGCTAAACCAAATTAACCATTTAAGTAATTAGCAATATATGTAATATATAATATGAATGCCTGTTTAGATAAAAATCATACGTTATGTTTGATGAAAACTTGAAAGAAAGTTGTTTTCAGTCTATGAAAATTGCTAAGACACTAAGTCAATTCACACAAACACAACAATTCATTTACCCCATACCATGCATTAACATATATTTTTCTTAGTGAATACTTCTATTAATTGTAAGATAATTGTATTAGTTGCA